TAAACGAATTAGTTTATACACGGAAATGACGTCACTTCACCACAGCTGTGTGTGTGTGTGGTGGGGGGGGGGGAGTAATTCAAAATTATGTAATTAGATTTGGAGTAAAATCTTGTTTCCTTTCATTATTTCATGCTGTAGTTTATGTTCTACTTAGTTGTTTATCAGTAACAAACAGTTTAACATATTTGGGGAAAATTAATAATAGCTTTCACTTTTATTTTCAGGTATACGCAGAACTTAATCAAAATAGCTTTAGACGTGACCACTAGTAAACGCACTTGTTAATACACCATGTCGTCACTTGTGAAAATATAACTTCCTTTCCGTTGATAGTTCTCCAATAGGGCAAATGTAAATGTTGTTAAATAATTCAGCCACTTCTACAGTGATATTAACTGGCTATGTTTGCACCATTATAATCTTGTGAGAACAAACACACGATAAAAAAAAAAAAAAAAATAGATGAATCGCAATGATTTATTGAGCTTGAAAAAATCCGGACATTGTGTAACTTTTCGTGGTACATTTCAGAGCGCGTGGGTTGTTGCGTCATGTCCAAGATAAAACAACCAGGAAATTTAACATTAATTTTTAAAGGACCCTGGAAATATATGAAGAGAATTATTTACAAACATATACATTTTATTATGCGAAACTACATAGAATGTTACACTTCGCTTAAATCTGTAAACAAGTAAACTTAACGCAGGTTTACAGACGTATTCAGAGGTGTGTAAAGCCTTTCCCAATGACTGTACATACAAGGTCGGTTATTTTTCCATGCTCGCGTGACAACATAAGTGATCATGGTATTAATCTTTTCCACAATTAAACTTAAACTTATTATAATTCACACCATAACAGTTGTTGCTCTGTCGTATCCAAGCCGCCCTGATGAGCCCTGGTATTAAGCGAAAGGCCTCGCTGGCACATATCCAGATACAAGGGGTTACTAAATACTAGCAATAGTACAATATAAGCTAAGCTTTGTTGTAATATGAAACATTAAATTATTTTAATAATTTTAAATTGTTGAACAGTCGAAAGCTTTGGATCAGGGTCTGGCAATCCTAAATTTTCGGGTTCGAGAAGTGATACTACTGTAGGCGCATTACAAAAATTACATTGAATCTTGCTATTACAAGATAAATAACAAATATAGATCGTAAAAAAAAGTAAGGAAACAATGCTGGATATACTTTAGACATTACTTACTCAAACTACAAACCCCTATTTTGGCCCCCCATGCTGTTTCCTAGAATTACATTTGGTGGAGCCAAAATTCGAGATTTGTAGTTTGAGTAGATAATAACTAGTTTCTTCAGCCTATTTTCCTTACTTTTTATACGACCCCTATTTGCAGGTTTTACCCCCCCTCTTTTTTTTTTTTTTTTTTTTTTGTTTTACTTCATCTTGTTTGTCTGGGGGTTTTTTTTTTTTTTTTTTTTTTTTTTTTTAAATTGCTCAACCATGAGCAAAGGATTACCTTATATGATAGCTAACTTTATACATTGTAATGATAATAAATATAGCCGTTTGTTTTGTTGTGAATTTCACGCAAAACTACACGTGGGCTATCTGCTCTAGCCGTTCCTAATTTAGCAGTGAAAGACTAGAGGGAAAGCAGCTAGTCATCAACACCCCCCGCCAGGTCTTGGGCAACTCTTTTACTAACGAGTAGTTGGATTGACCGTCACATTATAACGCCCCCACGGCTGAAAAGGCGAGCACGTTTGGTGGGGTGGGAATTCGAACCCTTGTCCCTCAAATTGCGTGTCAAGCGCCCTAACCACCTGGCAATGCTGGGTCCTTAAAGGAACACCAGATATTTGTAAGAAAACTAACTTCAAGGGGCAATGAATTATGTTTTTTAGCTTATATAAAATATAAAAGAAATAAATCGACTTTAACAGCTTTAGCAGTCTATACTGAAAGTTTTAAGGGGTTGTTTTAACTGAATCTACCGTTTAAGGAGCTTTTTGCCCGAACGTTCTATTAGGGTTTTGTACAATTCCTAGCGATCCTCATTATGAACCACTATCGCGGTTGATGATGGTAAAGTAGTCGTTTCAGATGACGGGTGCAGCAGACTGGTTTTTATACTTGAAATGAAAGGGGTCTTTTACCCGGATGTTTAGGTTGTTGTGTAGGGTGAATAGTATCGTTCAGTATAGACAAACAAGAAAACCGAACACTCAAATATTCAAGTAAAGTAAATTGGAACGTGGTACAAAAATGTTATACAGTTGTTCAATACATTAAATTAACCAAACGAAAACAAACACTCACCTGATTTCGCCGCAATGGCCAATAAAAACAATGCACTAACAACGAAAATCTTCATAATCAGTTTTCTCTCTACCTATCTACAGTGTTAGAGAAAATAGAAAAAAAAAAATGTTATCGGAAAATAAATTTAGTTAATTCTCCCTTTTTTTTTCATTTCCTACATTAAATATTTATATATAATGTTAGGAATATTAACCGAACAAAACTACTTTAAAAGTTTGATACTGGATAGTTACATTTTCGTACGATACCCACAATTGACGTTAGTTTCAAGGAAATTGAGAACAAGAAAACACTAATAAGAAATAACAACATAAATTATCAGCTACAACCAGTCTTCCGGACATTTCGGAACTTCTCACAGTCCCCACCCCCACAACAATCTTTTCTGCCAAAACCTAGTTTTATTATTATTATTTGTTCCCACTTATTCTTACATCTCCTCAACGATAAGTAACAAGAAACTTTCCCCTTTTTAACTCACTTTCTAAGTTTCTTAAACAAAATTCAGATACAGTGGTTGGTTTTAGGTAAACAAACATATTGATATTTTTGGAATGTGTTAATTAGAAATTAAAATACTAACAACAAGTTTCCTATGACACTATACCTGATAATTCTTCGTATTTTCGCTGCTAAGCCAGTAGTTTATTCCACTCTTTCTTATATTACGATGACTGGAGCGTCCAGTTTATATAGTTACAAATAGTTTCACCTTATCGTGCAACTAGCTATGTGTACCGGTATTACAGTCAAGAGACTCCGCCCACTTCCGGCTTTCTTTTGAAATTCGTTGTGCAAGCATAACATTCGGATTACAGAATAATGGCGTGATTTATAAATTGCACGTTTTACAAATAAACACCAAATGAAATAAACAAAGAAATAAAAACAATTATTTAACTTAATGTGTCGGGCGAGGCTTATGAGGTAGCATGCCGGACTGTAGATCTGAGGGGTGGTAGATTCCTGTATGGAAGTGTCATATGTTTTACAAATACACGGCAAGTGAAACAAAATATCACGGGTTTCACTTATTTAATTTGCTAATCATTTCATTCTTAACTGATTTTAATTTAATGTATGTTATGTTTGGCATTAAAGAATTTTATTTCTTTTCATATAGTTATGATCAATCCCACTATTCGTTGATAAAAATAGCCCAAATGTTGGCGATGGATAATGTCTTCCTTCTAGTCTAGAACTTCAAAATTAGGGACGGATAGAGCAGATAACCTTAAAGTTACTTTGGATAATGTTGACTAGCTGTCTTCCTTCTAGTCTAGAACTTCAAAACTAGGGACGGATAAAGCAGATAACCTTCAAGTAACTTTGGATAATGTTGACTAGCTGTCTTCCTTCTAGTCTAGAACTTCAAAATTAGGGACGGATAGAGCAGATAACCTTCAAGTAACTTTGGATAATGTTGACTAGGTGTCTTCCTTCTAGTCTAGAACTTCAAAACTAGGGATGGATAAAGCAGATAACCTTCAAATAACTTTGTGCGAAATTAAACAAACAAATTTATTTTTTATTTTGTAACAATTTTGCCTAGACGGAGCAAGTGATCTTTATTCAAAGGTTTCTTTCGTTCTGTTCTTTTTTTTACATTTTTGCATAGTTTTTTAGACTATCCCAGTTCTAAAATGGGTTAAGGGATCTTTGTTAGTTCTTTAAATATGCCATTCAATCACTAAATGGTTGTATATGTACGTGAGTATCAAAGAACATTATCGCGTATTTTTGTATGAAAAGGTTATTTTATATAAGTTGTAGTCAAAGAGTTTTCTTCTTGTTTTTTTATTAAGTGTTATGTTGTCCTTTAAAATTAAAGGGTATTCTTATTATAATACATTCTCTTGTGACGATTTTTAAATTATGATTAAAATGTTTTTTTTATTATAATATATAATCACGATTTTCAATTATTTGTTAAAGGATTGTATTGTTCATATGGCTGTAATTGTTCTCATAAACAAAGGAAAGTCAAAGTGCTTATTGGCCATGTCGCGAGTTTATAATGGATTGGGTTTACTTTCATTTTATTTGTCAGCTTGAGGTAAAGCCTTAACCAGAGATGAGGGGAGAAATCTGATACGTGGGCATATTACTTGTTATCCACCATCTTTGTTAAATGTTTTTGTTTAGTTAGTTTCTATGCAGTTTCGGCATAAACATGTGGTCAAGAAAGCTGTTTAAATTGTTTGTTCTAGTTGCCTTTGTGTCTTTATTTTCGATAACACATACCATCTACTCTGCCTGCAGGGATGTTGCAGCAATTTTGCACTTTAGTGTAGAAAAGGTACACGATTGCAAGATCCCCCAGTGGCTGAAAGGTGTCTGTCTATATGTTACAGCCAACAAAAGCTGTGCCAGTTTAATGATATTGAAAGTAAAGAATAAGATGTTTCCTGTCTCATTATGGAGCCTTGGTATCTTCTGAGTTCTGCTTAGTTTCAACGTGTACAATTCGCCAGATATTCGTCTCAAGGGAAGAAATCTGTTCACAGATCCACTAAAAACAAATGTGTAGATTTCTATGTAAATACACATCCATTTTTTTTGTATTTGTTTGGTTTATTTGTCAATAAATATGTTTTTTCTTCCCATCTCATGTGCCCAGTTTTCTACTTTCTGACATAGCTTAAAAATCAATCGGGTTTTGAAATTAAGATTACTTTGCAAAATTACTACTCGATCTTCCCATTATTTTGTTGGTAGCTTCTGCACACCTTTAACAAAACATTAATGTCTACTAGAATTGGTGGTATCTTCTTCACATTTTAACAAATCACCACTCATTGCTAGATTTTCGGATCGTTTCTTCATATACTTTTATTGGTAGACATCAGTGTTTTGTTAAACGCCACTATCTAGTTTCTACTTGGAAATCACTTGTAAAACCTACTGTAAATGAATATTTCCCGTAACCAACCATTGCTAAAGAGTTTTATACCCTTTTTATTAGAAGGATTATATAGTGTCTTCATTGTTATAGGAGACACGTTGATTTGTGATGTGGCTGAAATTCCAGCAAGTATTAAGCAAGGAAAGCCATTGCGCCATTTTGAACCAAGGAGGAGGATGGATAACTAACAAGTTACTCTAAAAATCCAATAAAGGACCCGAGCACTGGAGAGCTTTTTTTTTTCTGTTGTTGTTGTTTGTTTGTTTTTGTGTGTGTAATTTCAGAATTTTGCCAAAAGCTACACAAGGGTTATCTGCTTGTAGCTGTCCCTATTTTTGAAATGAGAGACTAGAAGAAAATCAGCTAATCAACAGCGCCTTCATAAATTCTCGGGCTATTCTTCTTATCGAATAGTGAGGCTCGATGGTCATTCTTATAATGCACCCAAATGTCGTCTGTTCTTTTGTTTCACCACTCTTCGAAACCGTTCGAATTTTTGTTCCATCACTCATTGAAAGTGCGGGAGTCTTTGTGTCTTTTTTTTTTTTACTTTTCTTAAAGTCACCACTAATTTCACGTCTTTGGAAATAAATTTTATGTTAAAGTATTAATAGATTAATTAAAAACAAAAAGGCTTAACAACAAACAAATCACTGCTGTGTTAGTTGTATCCCTGGCGGCCTGAAGAGCGTTGGATTGGGCGAAACGCGTCGTTGGAAGTGAATATGACAAATATAGTGTGGTTGAAATAGTGTTATTGTACCTCTAATTCTTGTAAATCCCTAAGGGACTAGATATAGAATGAAGTGTTTAAAAACGTAATAGGCCTAATACTAATGTTTTATGACAAGTATAAATATAATTTTCTACTTCTTTAATGAATACATAGTAGTTTTGGCTTCCGGTTTACGAAACGTGCACTACAAGAATAAAATAACTTTTTGTTCGTAAAGTTGGTTAAATATATAATGATTATTAAATAAAAACATCATGACTTCAGTTTGTCAATAAGCGCTAAACAGCCGCTGCTTTAGACTGACGTAGAAAATAGCCTCTACACCAGGTAATTGGATATAGGACTAGTCATTAACGTTTGATATCAAATTATTTGTTAGCTTAATTTAGTTTGATTTTGTTGGATATTTTGTAATCCAACTTAATGTATTGATTACATTTCAGAAATGGTAATTAGTTAATCCTGCCAGCACTAAATTACAACTGCTTCCCTCGTGCGAGGCTACTTTCTACGTCACTCTAATACAGCAATTACCACCTGCTGCTTACGTAGTTTGACTTACTACAGAAAATTAGGGCCGTACGCAGAATGTTTGAATGATGATTTCTAATTTGTGAGATCAAAAGCCAACACATATTGTGCTAAGCACAATATGCTAACTACAGAGTTACTGTAACACCCTTGATTTAGAGACTAACAACAGAGCAACTGGTAAGGTATTTTAAAACAGTCAGTATCAAAGAAGTTTAACCTTTTAGGCAAGGTAGTGTACCTTATATTGAAACCTGTCCCATCAATGAAAATCCCATATTTTAAGCCTTGAATTATTCTCAAGAAATGATATGATTTACGTCACCAATAAATCAAAACAAGGACCAGAGTTTTATTTATATTAATTTAATCTTTATTGGCCTCAGGCTTTACAATATATTCTACTTTTCTCTAAAAAAAGTGTTTGTCAAAAAACTGTATCTATAATTTTATCACTAAGCCTAAATCAATACAAAGTTAAGTTCTACCAAGCAATATCTACTAATTACAAAATTTGAACATTTTTCAACTTATATACGATGGTAATGTAACACATACACTAATATCTTTCATGTTACCATGGTAATATAACACATACACTAATACCTTTCATGTTACCATGGTAATATAAAACATACCCTAATATTTTTCATATTACCATGGTAATATAAAACATACCTAATATCTTTCATGTTACCATGGTAATATAACACATACCCTAATACCTTTCATGTTACCATGGTAATGTAAAACATACCTAATATCTTTCATGTTACCATGGTAATATAACACATACCCTAATACCTTTCATGTTACCATGGTAATACAAAACATACCCTAATATCTTTCAGGTTACCATGGTAATATAAAACATACCCTAATACCTTTCATGTTACCATGGTAATATAACAAATACACTAATAAGAACATAACATCACTAAAATCGAATTTATAAGATCTTTTGGTAGGGCAGGAGGTAAAAATAATAACTATTCAACTTAATTTATCATTTCGTAAGTTTCTACTATGTTGGGATACATTTAACAACGGACGCGAATATTTCAGCGAGGGAACGAAAGATTGCACGTCCATTCCCATGATACAGAAAAGGTTGATGACCTCCACATTAAACAAACTAAACATTTCTCTCGAAATACTGTATGGTAAATATAACGTTTGGAATTGTATTTTCATATGACACGCTACTAGACAACCCCCTTTAAGTCCTCGTCATAGAGTAAGCGAAAATCTTCAAATGTCATTTTTATGGTTTAAAGAATGGGAACCAACCGAAAGTTAATTTATTCTTATACTTTTATTGTTACATCGTTGGTCAAAGTGTTATCTAAGCCCTTCGTCTAACATTTCAATTCACAAATAAAACGAAAGACCAAATACAAAAATAGATGTGATTCCTGGTACCCTACTAAGTCTGTCAAAATCTAATGACTTTGTATATTAAATAATGACTTCACGTTTTCGCTCTTTTGAGTTTTCTGCGCAGCTCCTTACGCAGGTTTTCCGAAACTTCAGGTACTTAGATGGAAACAGCCAATCCTCTGCTAGTGTTGGCGGCTCGACCAATTAAGTTTGGCGCTTCATTAACTAACTTTTCAAAATAATACGGCCGCCTTTGAATGTAAATTTATAAAAACACTGAGTCTTATAGACAAAAATTTTTTGTTATATACTTTGAATAAAAGTTTTTTAAAGTAAAGAATTTTCTGGAATAACGCCCATGAACCCCAAGATGAACTGACTAGTTGGTTGGTTGTATTTTTTTGTTTTTAGAGCAAAGCCACAGTGGGTGATCTGCTGTATCCATCGTGAGGAATTGAACTCCGGATTTTAGCGTTGTTATGTCTGAAGACTTACCGCAGTCCCGCCTGGGAACGAGATGTACCGAGAAAATAACTTCTATGTCATCACCTCAGTTGAAAGCAAGGACCACAGTAAATGTGGTTTTTCACTATTGTGTTCTTTTTGTGTGTTAAAACAAAGGATTACATACATTCCTTATCTTCATTCTAATAAAAATACATATTTCCATAAACTACAAAACAGACGGGCAACAAGAGACCATCTGGTCCTTCAAGGCTCTCCTTGCACACCCACACATGAGAAAAGTAAACATTTAAACCCTGCCTCCCTTTATTTTTCTGGAAATAGTTGATTCCATTCCTAAACTCCTGTAAAGTGCTGGCCTTTACTACTGACAAAAGCAACTCATTTCATAAGCTTACCATCCTGTTATAAAAAATAAAACAGTCTTAACTGGAGTCTAGTCTGTCTTTTCCAAATCCTAAACATTTGTTCTCTAGTCCTATTGTTTTCAGAATGCAAGACAAATTCCTACTGGATAATCTTGTAATCTTCAGTAGGGTCATCTCTTACCCTCCTTTTCTCAAGATAAAATACGTTAAGATATTTTAGCCTATAAAATGACACTTCCATCCCCGGAATTATCCTAGTAACCCATCTCTGAACCCTTTTCAATATGTCAATTTCTTTTAAATACAAATACAACACCAAAGTCATTGTAACGTTAATTTTATGTTTCTTGAAGTTATTTCCTAATGAGTCGAACTGTGAGAAAAACTGTTACACAAAACGTATATATACTTGTAAACTAGTAAAGAACAATATTTACTTACTTGCGATATTTCTTTTTTTGTTTGTTTTTAAATTAGAAATCATATCTATTTTATCATTTAGCCTAACTAGTAACTACCCTCACGTTGCAACTTGCAATACGACCGACATTAAAAATTACGTGAAAACAAGGCTTAACTACATTCACATTGCAAAACGACCGACATTAAAAATTACGTGAAAACAAGGCTTAACTACACTCGCATTGCAATATGACCGACATCAAAAATTACTTGAAAACAAGGCTTAACTACACTCACGATGCAATACGGCTGAGGTTAAAATTACGTTAAAAGAAAAAGAAAGAGGGTTACTAAAATTGACGAGGAACCTTCTTTCACAAATTTTGAAAACACTTATATGAAATTCAATACAGTTTTGTACCAAAATACAACGTGGTCTTCGTTTTGAAGATAAAGTTTGCCGACACCTACAGGAAAAACAAAAACTGAATCATAAAATGTTTAAATGGCTACTTCCAACATCTTCAAGATTTTATATCTAACTAACAATCTGAATTAAAAACAGTTTAATTAACAGTGTTTTCTTCCAACGTCTTAAAGGTGTGAAGTGTTTATCAGTGTTTTCTTCCAACGTCTTAAAGGTGTGAAGTGTTTATCAGTGTTTTCTTCCAACGTCTTAAAGATGTGAAGTGTTTATCTGTGTTTTCTCCCAACGTCTTAAAGGTGTGAAGTGTTTATCAGTGTTTTCTCCCAACGTCTTAAAGGTGTGAAGTGTTTATCTGTGTTTTCTCCCAACGTCTTAAAGGTGTGAAGTGTTTATCAGTGTTTTCTGTCAACGTCTTAAAGGTGTGAAGTGTTTATCAGTGTTTTCTTCCAACGTCTTAAAGGTGTGAAGTGTTTATCTGTGTTTTCTTCCAACGTCTTAAAGGCGTGAAGTGTTTATCAGTGTTTTCTTCCAACGTCTTAAAGGTGTGAAGTGTTTATCAGTGTTTTCTGTCAACGTCTTAAAGGTGTGAAGTGTTTATCTGTGTTTTCTTCCAACGTCTTAAAGGTGTGAAGTGTTTATCGCATTAAGACGTTGGAAGAAAACACAGATAAACACTTCACACCTTTAAGACGTTGGAAGGAAACACTTGTGAAGTGTTTTCTTCCAACGTCTTAAAGGTGTGAAGTGTTTTCTTCCAACGTCTTAAAGGTGTGAAGTGTTTATCAGTGTTTTCTTCCAACGTCTTAAAGATGTGAAGTGTTTATCTGTGTTTTCTTCCAACGTCTTAAAGATGTGAAGTGTTTATCAGTGTTTTCTTCCAACGTCTTAAAGATGTGAAGTGTTTATCTGTGTTTTCTTCCAACGTCTTAAAGGTGTGAAGTGTTTATCAGTGTTTTCTTCCAACGTCTTAAAGGTATGAAGTGTTTATCTGTGTTTTCTTCCAACGTCTTAAAGGTGTGAAGTGTTTATCAGTGTTTCTTTCCAACGTTTTAAAGGTGTGAAGTGTTTATCAGTGTTTTCTTCCAACGTCTTAAAGGTGTGAAGTGTTTATCAGTGTTTTCTTCCAACGTCTTAAAGGTGTGAAGTGTGTATCTGTGTTTCTTCCAACGTCTTAAAGGTGTGAAGTGTTTATCTGTGTTTTCTTCCAACGTCTTAAAGGTGTGAAGTGTTTATCAGTGTTTTCTTCCAACAATTCCAAGATGTTAAGCATCAAATGCATGGATATTCACACAAAACACAGAGTCCTAAAAATAATTCCACAAAACTGTCCAGTTTTGATTGCTAAGAACCTGTATTTGTATAATCAGCATTAAAAACAAAATTCTGATTTAATTCTGTGGAAACAATACACACACAATCCTCAGACGTATAATGTGTTCCTAAAATCAGTATACTGGTGACCGTATGTGGTCTTGTGATAAACAAATACGATTTGTTAAGTACTACATCCACCTCTAAATTGCGACAATTTTACGGTTTTAATTTGATATTAGCCTTGTTTTAAAAGTGTTGCTGTGATATGGCGTGAAATGAACCATGACGTCAGTTAACACTGAAAGGAAAATATTTTGTTTTTTTTACGCAATGAAAGAAACTCAAAGATTGTGAACATCACAAGTGCTTACACCTTTAAAGTCTGAATGCAAAATATTAAAAAAGGATTTGAAATGACACGTTAATATTACAACATACACTATAAAATACTTGTGTTAGAAGAAAAACAACAAATGGTGAATTAATGAATTTTCATGCTCGTGATCAAATTAGATAATTTTTCTTTATGATGCCGTTTTGTTTCTTTTCTTGGAGAAGTTTGATTTTTACCAGTTCCAGAATGATCTATTATAATGGCGTTTCTTACCATTTTCTGAGAAATGAAGTTCATGAGTGTCTGGGTTTTCGATGTAAAGAATCCAGAATCTCTGACCGGCAGGGTCATTAGCCATACCAGCAATTTTATAGACAAATGGTCCCCATGATGTTTCATCCAGTTCAAACCTAAACAAAAACAATGAACATTAATCAAGATGCCTCTACATGATATGGGGAAATTGATAATTATGACTTGTTGGCAGTTGATAATGGTTGCAGGCTCACAGTTCGTACATCTGAACGAGTAGTACCTAGACCATCATCAAATGTCAACACGTTGGGTCTGAAAGTAGAAGGTCTAGGTACCAGTCGTCAGATGTACGAATCGTGCGACTGGAACCCATCATCAAATGTCAACAAGTTGTGTCTGAGAGTAGAAGGTTCCAGTCCCACGATCTGTACATCTGAACGACTGGTACCTAGACCTTCTACTTTCAGACACAACTTGTTGACATTTGGTATGGTTCCAGTCCCACGATCTGTACATCTGAACGACTGGTACCTAGACCCTCTATTCTCAGACCCAACTTGTTGACATTTGATGATGGGTTCCAGTCCCACGATTCGTACATCTGAACGACTGGTACCTAGACCTTCTATTCTCAGACCCAACTTGTTGACATTTGATGATGGGTTCCAGTCGCACGATTCGTACATCTGAGCGTGTGGTACCTAGACCTTCTACTTTCAGACCCAACGTGTTGACATTTGATGATGGGTTCCAGTCCCACGATCTGTACATCTGAACGACTGGTACCTAGACCCTCTATTCTCAGACCCAACTTGTTGACATTTGATGATGGGTTCCAGTCCCACGATTCGTACATCTGAACGACTGGTACCTAGACCTTCTACTCTCAGACCCAACTTGTTGACATTTGATGATGGGTTCCAGTCCCACGATCTGTACATCTGAACGAGTAGTACCTAGACCTTCTACTCTCAGATCCAATGTGTTGACATTTGATGATGGGTTCCAGTCCCACGATCTGTACATCTGAACGACTGGTACCTAGACCTTCTACTCTCAGACCCAACTTGTTGACATTTGATGATGGGTTCCAGTCCCACGATCTGTACATCTGAACGACTGGTACCTAGACCTTCTACTATCAGATCCAACGTGTTGGCATTTGATGATGGGTTCTAGTCCCAAGATCTGTACATCTGAACGACTGGTACCTAGACCTTCTACTCTCAGACCCAACTTGTTGACATTTGATGATGGGTTCCAGTCCCACGATCTGTACATCTGAGCGTGTGGTACCTAGACCTTCTACACTCAGATCCAAGAGTAATTCTTGTGAAACACAAAGATTAAGACCGTTCCACATGTTTCCACCAAGGGCTAAAACATTTTTCTGTTAGCACATTTAATTGTTTGTTTTATAACAAAGCCACATTGAGCTATTGGCTGTGTCCACCGCGGGGAATTGAACCCCGTAAACGTACCGCTATCCAACTGGGTGACTCGTATTTAGTGGTTAGTGCGTCTGGTCTGTTGGCATTTGTTCTGTTTGTATATTTCACAAATAAAATTTTCAATCAAAAATTAAATAATTGTTTGTTATGTTTAAATATTGTTTTTTTTATAGCACAAATCACGTAATTAAAATATTTAAATCAGATGTGATGATATCTATTTAGAATTAAATTTTAAAAAATACCAAGGCCATCTAATTTAGTTGGGCGTGGGTTGGTTCTGTGGCAGAGCTCTGGATTTCGGAGCTGGGATCGAATCCGTGGCATATCATAAAATATTCTCCGCATTTTTAACTGTTGGAGCGTTATAAGAGTGACATTCAATCCCTTATTGTGGATGGTAGGTGCTGTTAGATCAATAGTTCAAAAATTGTAGCTTTGTCATCAATACAAATTCAATTACGTTTGTATTGGTAATTTAAGAAATGTGTTCGTAATAATACATTTTGTTAAACAAGACCGATGTCTGTAGGTTTACTTTCTTCTTAGAATTCTTCTCA